CTGTTGTGGGAATGCCCAAATCCGGGTCCCATTGTGCAAACTGTACATTCAGGAAGACAAAGTCCTAGGCCTGAAGATCTTGCAGTCTATTTCAATATATACATGAACTGACAAGCTGTACAGATTGGCCAACACTTTCACACAAAGGTCTCAATGACAGTGTCTGAAAGGTTTAGTTCAAACAGTTGCTATTTACAAGAGAAGGAAAAGAAGCTTTCAGGTCTTTAAACCCCAATCATAATCTATGAGAAATCTTCCTTGACCTGCCTTTGGAATAATTCCGATTTCTCAATTTATTATAATAATCCTACCTACGATGTTCCAAATTAAAAAAGAGGTAATAAAAATGGTTTTAAAAAGCTGAATAACTGCAGAATCCTAGTACCCTGAAGTGGAAAATACTTACTAAACCATCCAGAGCATTTCACTGTCAGTGCAGGATTGTGCATTTCATTTCCTATTGGATCTTTATGAGTGTGGTGAAAAATCTAGTTTTAAATGTCCCAAGCAATGGTGCATCTACTACTTCCCTTGCCAGACTACGCCATACCATAACAGATCTTTGTCAGAAAGTTTTTCCTGACAGCAGGTTAAACTTTCAGAAAAAATACCATATTAACTCCCTGGCCTCCTGTAAAAATCTAAGCTCTGGCCCACCAAGAAGAAATCAAATCATAGTCAAGGAGTCCACATGTAGAATTGAGAGGAACTGTAGGACAGAGCTCCAGCTTAAGTACCTGCTGATCTCAAATGTAGCAGTATTTGGGGCAGGGAAAGAGGCAGTTCCCTGGGTAACTGGCTCCTAAACCATTTAAGACTTAAAACTAACACCTAAACTCCAGCTGAAAGTTTATTAGACACTAGTGCAACTTTCTGGAGTATTTGTGTCATATACTCTTGCAAGATACGGCATTCAGAGTCAGGTCTACAGAGGGGCCCCACATATAGCTAGAGCAGCGTATCTCAAACTGGACTCTGTGGACCCCTGGGGGTCTTCAAGGGTACTCCAGGGGGTTCATGGTCTCTGCTGATCAACTCCTCCCCCTCCCTCTCAGTGCCTTCTGCACACCAGGGGAACAGCTGTTTCCTGGTGTGCAGGAGGCGCTGGGAGGGAGAGGGAGGAGCAGGGATGGGATGTGCTCGGGAGGGGACGGAATCATGTTCAGGGCCGCTGGCCCTGCTGATCAACTCCTCCTCCTCCCTCTCAGTGCCTCCTGCACGCCACAGAACAGCTGTTCAGTGGCGTGCAGGAGGTGCTGGGAGGGAGGGGGTGGGAAGAGGTGGGGCCTTGGGAAAGGGGTGGAGTGGGGGCGGGGCCTGGGGCTGAGCGGGGGAGGTTTGGGGGGGTCTGCAAAAAAATTTAAATCAAAGTGGGGGTCCTTGGGTTGCTAATGTTTGAGAACTGCTAAGCTAGAGTATTCTAGTACTGAGGTGAGTTCTGTACAACTAGAGTCAAGGTAATTAAATCAGGTGACTTTACAGGTGGAAGGACACAAGAAACAGTGTCAATGAACTTTCAAAATAAACTGTTTACAACATTCCCAAAATAATTTTCCTGTAAAACACATGGAAGGAGCAGAATCTATGTTGTGGTGGTATGTGGTATAAAATGTATTGGCATTTGTTTGAACTGACTTGCACGTGTGGCTTTTCCAGGCCAATCCCAAATGTTGTCCATAAAACCTTAATACCACATAACATCATGTATTCCTTGTACACATAAACAAAGTTTTAAATTTTGGCACCACCTTCTCATTGGTATTGATACCTCTAATGCAAGGTTCTATTCTGAAAAGTAACGCTGTGAAATGGCATTGTGTAACTTTGGGTGTATTTCTGACTTACTGATCATATCTGCTCAGTTCACAAATAAATGATATTTTCTAATTGCCACTCCTGCTTACTCACCCAGGGCTAGCTAGATAGGCTGTTTCCATATAATTCATGCATCAGTACCAGTAATAATTCTGTAGGTCAAACAATCTCTTAGTCATATGCTAGGAGAAGGAGGTGAGAGGACATAATTTGATCCTGCAATTGGTATGTAATTAACTCACTTGTTCTTAGCTATATTAGATCTGCAGGCTAATGAGTAAAAAGCAGTGCTTACTCCTCAGAAAGACCCTGATCCTGGGGATACTGAAGTGAGTGTGTAGCATGAAGTCAACAAGGACTCTGCAAGTGCATAGTTACATGTGTGCTTACAGCTTTGCAAAACTGGACCAGGTCCACAGCTATGACCCTGAGCAGACCAGGATGTGTGAAGAGAAAAGATGCCATTTTTACATATTTAATCTTCAGACTAAAACTGCATTTCTAGCAAAGTTGGGAGAGTTGGCAATGTATATGCAGTCAGCTGTTCCTAGCAACTTCACACAATGGGGAACACTTCATACTTTGCAAATGTAAGTCACTCATAGATTCTCTCTCTCCCATGCACTGACATGCATGTACACACACACTTTGTTTTTGGTTAGAAACAAACCTATTTATAGGAGGGGTTCAGGTCTTACGGATTAATTTTCTAAATATAAAGTTACTGCACTGTTACTAGAGCTTAACAGTTGAACTGTTCATTTGATAGGGATTGTGTTTTTCTTTAAGAGGACTAAATATGACACCTCTGGGGTGGGGAGAAGCCTGTTTAAGTAGTATGGTTACTTATGACACAGCAAGCAGATCATACTATTTATATAATGACCCAATATACAGCTTAAGTCAAACAATGCCTCTTCTTACTTCCTTTGGGTAGGGAGAAATGGTAGCAGGTGAGTCATTAACTCAAGCAATGCAGCAACCCTCATCTTGTAATGAATAAAATACAATTCAGCATGCTAATATGGTGCATCTGATTAAAAATAACTTGGGTGCATTCAGTTATAACCAACCACAAGATAGGATACAATACCACTGTCAGTTCTAAAAGTGTGTATTGTACAAACCAGTGTTTTGAATATTTGAAATGTGGTACTGCAGTTAATTCCTTTTTATTCAACATATTTAAAATAGGTTTTTATTTTTGAATTATAATTTGTTTTAATAGCTGCAACTGCATAATACTTTGCATTCCCACGGCTCCTTCTATATGATACTCTTTAAAAGGATGCTCTACAAACTGTTTGAGGATGCTCCTGTGAGGTAGGTAAGGAATTTTATCCCCATTGTACATGAGAAAAGTGAGGAGTAAAATTAGGTTGCACAAAGCTACAGGTGAAGCCAGAGAGAGCGTGCAATGAACTGAACTGTGGTCTTGTGACCTCCAGTCTTCTGTCTTAATAACAGCATCATTCTTCCATTCAAGCCTACAACATGCTGGTAAATATTGTACTGAATGCTGTCTTTATGATTTACATCCAAATAACAGTTATTCTATTATGGAATTCTCAGCTAGCCACTTACGGACAGATGCTGCAAATTGGTGCCATCCAAGACACACAAAAGTGGCCAATTCAGGAGACAATTGAGGCTACAGCATGGACGGGTCTAAATTGCAAAGGAGGCAAATAATGTCCTTTATTATTTGTGGTGCAACTGCAGCAGTGGCTGATGCCTCTCACAAGAGATAGAGACTCATAGAATCATAGACTTTAAGGTCAGAAGGGACCATTATGATCATCTGGTCTGACCCCCTGCATGCTGCAGGCCATAAAACCGTCCCTACCCCTTCCCTGGACTCTGCTGTTGAAGTCCCCAATCCTGTTTTTAGTGACTTCAATCGGCAGAGACCCTCCTGCTAG